CTGCTTCCTCTTTAGCTGGCCCTGACATGACCAGAACAAGCAGATACTGACTTGAATAATGAGAACTCAAGAAAGGGGCTCAAACTCAGATCTGTGTTCTTACTCTTCAGACCACATGCCCCTCCTAGAATTCCAGAATTTAGTAAGATATAAATGCATATTTGGCAAAGCCACATAGGCCACGTGTTCAGATAGAAAGGCATAGATAGCCTGGTGTGTTCCATACTTACTCTTTTGAAATTGGGTAACCTTAAAGCTGTCAACTTGGGACTAGAGAGTTGGCCCGGCCATTAAGAGCACTTGCTGGCCGGACGTTGGTGGTGCATGCCTTTAATCCCAGCACTCAGGAAACAGAGGCAGGAGGATCTCTGAGTTCGAGGCCAGTCTGGTCTACAGAGCGTGTTCCAGAACAGGCTCCAAAACAATACAAAGAAACCCTGTCTCAAAAAATAAAAATATTTATTTTATTATAAATAAATAAAAATAAGAGCACTTGCTGCCTTTGGAGAAGACTTGAGTTCAGTTCCCAGCATCCATATAGTGGCTGGCATACAACTCCAGCTCCAGGGGATCATCTGGTTTCCATGGATACCTGTGCACACATGCACATACCCACATGCTGGAGAGATGCTGAGAACATTTATTTGCCCCTCTTCCAAAGAACCTGGGTTTGCTCTCAGAATCTTTTTATCAAACACCTCCATATGCACCTGCACTCACATGCACACACCTACACGTGACACATGTGCTCATTTTGTTTTTCAGACAAGGTCTCACTATGTACCCTTGGCTGTCCTGGAACTCATAGGTAGACCAGGCTGGCCTTACACTGCCTCTGTCTCTCAAATGCTGGGATTAAAGCCATGTGCCACCACAACCAGCTTTACATATAATTTAAATAGATTTGTTTTTCATTTAAAATCTTTTTCTGGAATTTAGTGTAAGATAGTGTTCTCACCCAAATTGGCTTCTGCTTCCTAGTGCCCAGCAGCAGGAGTGTGTCAGGAGTGGCTAGCACCCATCTTTTCAGCCTAGACTATCTGTTCTTATTTTCTTCCCAGATATAGGTTCTCAGTGTTCGTCAAAGCTCTGCTAGCAGGTGGGGGTGGGAGAGGTGGCCAGGGAGTCTGGAGCTAAGTTCCCAGCACCCATCTTGGGTGAGGAATCCAATGCCTCTAGTCTCTACAGACATAAGTATTCATGTGTGCACACACAGTTAAAATAAATCTTTTAAAAACAAAAGCAGAAGCTGTGTGATGGTGGCGCACGCCTTCAATCCCAGCACAGGCAGAGGCAGGGAGATTTCTGTGAGTTCCAGGCCAGCCTGATCTACAAAACTAGTTCCAGGACAGCCAGACACAGAGAAACCCTGCCTCAAAAAAAAAAAAAAAAAAAAAAAAAAAAAGGAAAAAAAAGCTCAGTAGCACCACAGAAAGCTTTTTTCCATTCAATAGGAAGCTGTGTGCAACATAGGAAATAGGCAAGGGAGGGGGCTTAAAATCCTACAGAGATTGACACGGTGGTCAGGAGTAAGGGTGCTGGCCACACACCTGGAGACCTCCCTTTAATCCCCAGAACCCACAGAAAGGTTGGGAACAGTTTCCACAAAATCATCCTCTAACCTCTCTCTACATGAGCCTCTCCCCATAATAATAGTTCTGAGATATGACTCAAAAAACACATGTGTGATGGCCATTGAGATGGTTCAGCAAAAGACTAATGTCCTGAGCTCGGCTGACCCAGAGCCCACACGGTAAGCGAAAACTAACTACTCCCACAAGAACCAAGGTTCTCTGACCTCCACACATGACATGCTCGTGTGTGCACACACATTCAAGATAAATGATACAAATTTAGTGTTAACTGGGGCTTTAAATGATACATCAATAGCTAATGTTTATGGAATGCCAGCATTCCATACATTATGGAGAATTTGCACTCTAAATACATCTCAGTACACATCCTTACTCTATGATCTTGAGTCCCCTAAGGGTAAAGTTCAGTAACAGCAAAGTCACAGTCAGCAGGTGAGCCAGAAAGCTCACATTTCTGCTGTTCTGGGGTTTCACTCACTGGAACCCACCTCCTCTTCCCAGCACACCTACTCTGCCCTTTCAGAAACTCCACCAACTCCTCTCGGGGTACAGCTTTTGTTCTGCCTTTGAAATGACCGAGTTCACAGATGGTCAACCCTGTTAGAGCGGGTTGCTCAGAAATGGAGTCTTGGTTCAGGGCCCAGTACAAAGCAGCCCACCATGACCATCGACAAACTGAAGTCTGGATGGAGGCTCTTGGGCAGCTGGCTAAACCCTGTGTTACTTTACAGGGATGTGAAGCACTGTGGAAAGTAGGTGGCTAGTTCCCAAACTGAGATGAATGATCCCCCACATGGACCCGCCAAGGATCAGTCCCATGCTGGGCAGTGGTGGTGCATGCCTTTAGTCCCAGCATTTGGGAGGCAGAGGAAGACAGATCTCCATGAGTTCGAGGCCAGCCTGGTCTACAGAGTGAGTGCTAGGAGAGGCTCCTGAGCTACACAGAGAAACTCTGTCTCTAAAAACAAAAACAAAAAAAAAACAGTCCCATGCTGGGCTGCTTATAGTAAGTAGTCTGGTAGCCTAGCATTGCCTAGAATGCAAACCGAGAATTACAGTTGGAGTGGGAGGTTCTTGGTGGCGTGGTGTAGTGTTTGGTACAAAGGGCACCCAGGGTCCAGAGGGGACAAGGGGGAAGGAACTGTGGGCAAGAGACTCAAGAGCTCCTGAACAAAATTATATGCAGAACATCTTACTGACTTCCTCAGTCATCAAGCCCTATGGATTCAGCCCCCAACCTTCACCCCAAACTTCACCCCATCGTTGTCAGTCCCCATTACTATATCTGTCTCCAACTTCAGCCCCTGCCTTGTCTCACTCCCCCCCACACACACATCCCTCTCCATTCTAGCTCTAACCTCAGTGTGGGCAGTTTGGAAGGCTACTTGACAACACCATCCTTAGAAGCCCAGCATTTTTCCCTTTTCTTCCCTCTTTCCGTCCCCCTCTTTCTCCTCCTCGTTCTGTTTGTTTTTATTTTGAGACAGGATCTGACTGTGTAGCTATGAAGCCAGTCCTGGACTTCTGGAACTCTGTAAACTATTCTGACCTGGAATTTGCAGTGGTCTTCCTGCTTCCCCAGTCACTCTTTGCCTTTATGGGGGTGTGGAAGCAGTACAGAAATTGACCTGTTGGGTAAAAGGCAGACTGCCAATGACGACCAGAAGAATTTAGTTGATAGCTGAAACAAGGCTGGAGAGATGGCTCAGCAGTTAAGAGCATTTGTCTGCTCTTGCAGAGGACCTGGGGTCAGGTTCCAGAGCACCACGTGGCTCACAATGGACAGTAATACCAGTTCCAGGGGGTCCACTGCCCTCTTCTGACCTCAGAGAAGAGGATACTTGTACATGGGAAGTGCACACATTTAAGAAAAAGCATACTTTCAAAGAATCACCTCAGCATATTTTGATGATTATCACACATTAATTTGGATTTTTATTTTGAATCCAACACTGGAGAATCCCAAACTCCCATGTAACACCACCTTCAGGGCCATGGTCTCTCTCCTGGCAGCCCCTCCAGCAGCCACCGCTAAACCCCAGCTCTTCAGTTCCTCTGTTGTGCCACCAGAGGTAAGGCACTTCACCTCTGTGTGCCTCAGTTTCCCCATCTGTTAAGAAGAAAGGTTTTGCAGTGTGCAGTAGCATATGCCTTAATCTCAGAGGCAGGTGTAGGCAGGCATAATATCTCTATGAGTTTGAGGCCAGCCTGGTCTATGGGTGAACATTCCAGGTCAGCCAAGGCTACATAGTCAGAACCTGCCAAAAAGAAAAAAGGAAGGAAGAAAAAAAGAAAGGAAAGAAGGAAGGAAGGAGGGAAGGAAGGAAGTAAGGAAGGAAGGAAGGAAGGAAGGAAGGGAAAAGACCGCTGTGTGCCCCTTAATGGCATATGAACACTAAGAATAGGCCTGGAAGCGCTGCTACCTGCCATTATGACACTCCCAGACTTGACACAGTCATTCCCTCTGCTGGGCACTTTCCTCCCCCTGACTTCCGGAGGTGTTAATGCTGTGGCAGCAGCCAGAGGAGGCGGGAGTGCAGAAAGGGGTGTGAGTTAAGGAGTTTTCCCCAGATCCCTTTCTTGCAAACTGCTGGAGGCTGTCACAAATGAGAAGCTAAGCAAAGGTGCCCCCCTTTCGGGAGGCTTCAGGGCCCACCCCGTATTGGATTAGCAACGGGATGTGCCTGGTGAAGGTGCCTGGCACCCGAAGAGTAGCGGGGGGCTGGGTCCTGGCTGCTGCTGGCAATAGAGTGTGCCCCACCCTCGCGGCACAGCTGGCACCAGCCCAGCCCAGACGACTGGAACTATGTTTGGGCTCCATCTATGTCGCTATGCCTGGGAGAAGGGCGACACTGCGGGTCCCACCGCTGCACGGGGACTCAGGATCCCACCCGCCCCAGGGCTCAGGTGCCTGCTTCAGAGATCCCGACGTCTCCGCGCAGAGCCCGGCGTGCGCCCCGGCAGCTGGATGGGGACCCACGGACACCCTTGAAGACCTTTCCCCAACCGGCCCATTACCTACCTCGGGGTCGCACCAGGCGCTCCCACCACTCGGCACAACAGTAGCCGCGGAGACACCCCGCGGGAGGCTGCCCGTTCGGGTCCGCCCCCGAGCCCCCATTGGTTGGCCCGGGAAGGGGCGGGGCCGAGGAAACCTTCTCCGGTCTGCGAGGCCACCGGAGGTCCCGCTCCGGACACTCGCGGGTCCGTGCCACCGGAGCCCAAGTTGTCCTGCGGGACCTACGGGCTCAGGGGCCGCTTGCAGAGCGCGTGGTGCGCAGTCGCTGCAGAACTGCCCACGACAGGTGCAAACTCGGGATCCGCTGCGCCGTTCTGTCCTCGCCGTCGGGTGTCGCGCCGGGCCTGGCAGTCTACGGGTGGATGCGAGTCCGCTGAGCGTCCGAGATGGCCGTGCGTCCTGGGCTCCTCTGGCTGCTGGGCCTGGCTCTGTGCTCTCTAGGCAGTAGCCACGGCCTCCCCACGCCATGGCCGATGACGACGACGGCGGGCTCCCTCGGCCTCACTTGGGTGGTGAGGACCTGGTCATGAGCTTCGTCAATATGGGTAAGTGCGAGGAGGGCCCAGGTGGCCGCAGTCTCGGTGCGGAGTGGGCATGGCCTGTCTGGGGATGATGTCCTTGGGTAGTGCAAGTCTCCCTGGGACAGGGAGCCAAGGAGCAACAGAATCACAGGGAAGAGGCAACTGTGGGGTCAAGGCTGGAAGGTCTGAGCGTTAGCGCGGGTTCCCAGGGTCTTTGCCCACCAAGGCTCCCAGGAGTGGGAATCTGGTGATGCCCAGGTCCCCTAGTCCCAGGTCCCCGGAAGACAGTTGATTCGTCCTGGGAAGACTGATGAGTAAACAGAAGCTGTGATGCTATCATTGTGATAAACGCAGCCCTGAAAAGAGGGACAAAGTTCAGTGTAGAAACCTGTGGTCATATCATCAAAGTGACCATAGCTGACCCACACGCCCTGACGGCAAGTTCTTTCTCTGCAGCAGGAAACGGGTGGGTGGGGTGCACTGTCAGGAGGTGGAGTGGACAGGCTCAGACCATGACTACATGTAGTTTTGCGGGACTGGGCCCCAATACCTGGACCTTGGTCTGGCATGGAGTGAGTGTTCAGGCCAGTGAATGAGCCAAGGGGCAGTTGTGAGTCCATTCTCCCAAATTGTGGCTCTTCCTTTTTCCATGGATCTCTAGACCTCAGGGCCACCTTCTATCGTCTTTTATCTTTTAATATATGTGTATGAGTGTTTTGCCTGCATATATGTCTATGCTCCACATCTGTGCCTGATGCTGGAAGAGGCTACAAGAGGGCATCAGGTCCTCTGGAAATGGAGTTACAGACAGTTGTGAGCAGCCATGTGGGTGCTGGGAAAATCAGATCCAGGTCCTCTAGAAGAGCATCCAGTGCTCTTAACTCCTGAGCCATCTCTCCAGCTACACCCACCACCTTTAAAAATAGTTTCTTTTATGTATATGAGGTTTTGCCTTCATATATGTATGTGTACCATGTGCATGCAGTGACTCGTGGGGGCCAGAGGAGGGCGTCAGATCCTCTGGGACTGGAGTCAAAGATTATAGGAAGTCATGAGCAGCAGGTGCTCTTAACCACAGAGTCATCTCTCCAGTCCCAACCTCCAATAGTCAGAAAAGTATTTTTCCAGAATACATTTTCATCACAGTTGGTCAGGTCCCCACCTGCGTTGCTGATGTTTGTGGTGGGTGGGAGCCTGGGCAGACACTAGGCTGGGTCCGTTTGAGTACCAGGCCTTGAACTGAGAGCAAGGAGAGGACCTTGCCATGGTCACCAGCCCATGCACTGCTTAGCTTATCCTCCTAGCAGCCGGGCAAACAGCTACAGTCTCTACTCCCATTGCTCAGGGGTGGGCAGGGAGACACAGAGAAACAATGTCTGCCCTAAAATAGCTCTGTATCCAGTGCTGAGGTTGGTGATATTCCTTCCAAGATGGGAAGAGCTTTTGAGAGGGTATGGGCAGAGGAACACAGGGGACTGGACAGCAGGGTTTGTGTCCTCAGCCACTTGTTTTCCTACCTGAAGGCAGGAAGAGAGGGCACCCAAGCCTCTCTTTCCCATCCAGCTGGTGGTGGCTGAGGCAGGGTAGAGCATAGCGGGAAGGTAGTAGCTATTTAGCCAATAGCCCAGCTTTAATGAGGGACCGCCTTTCTGCTTAGAGGGCAGGGTGGGGACTTACGACAGACCACATGTGGGACTGTAACTGCGTCTCCATCCTTAGGACAGGCTGACCCAGGGCTGAGGACTAAGAACTAAGCATAGAGTTGCCCAAGAATGTCCCCAGAGGAGCTGCTGATCAGAATGAGTCACCACCCAGGACATGTTCTGCACCCCACCCCCATCCTCTGGGCAAAACATGAACAACTCTGGTGGGAACTGGAGCTGCTGTGCAACTTCAAGGAAGTCTCTTGTCTCTGAGCCTAACATCTGCCCCTTTAAATGGGACTCCTTGGCCAGGCATGATGACATACAACTTTAACTCCAGCATTCCGAAGGCTGAGACAGGAGGATCTCTGTGAGTTCCAGGACAGCCAGCCAGAGCCATATAGTGAGACCCTGTCTGAAAATAAATGAATAAAGGGGACCCCTGGTGACCTGTCCTCAAGGTTAGATGACAGACAGATGAGCAGGGAGAGAAACACAGCCTCCCTTCACTTAGAGTGTGAACTGGGGGTCAACAGTGGCCACAGTGTGAACAGGAGCCAGGCTGCTGCCAATCCCCAGCCCTTTCAGCTGCAGCCCAGCTTTGCAAATAAAGCAATAAGATCTATGTGGCTGCATGTGGTGAATCACAACTATAAACCTAACACTCAGGAGGTTGAGGCAGGAGGATTACCACAGCTTCAAGGCCAGCCTGGGCTACACCTTCTATTTAAAGTCATCCAGAGCATCAGAGTAACAGCAGACCCTATTGAAAGAAAGAGGGAGGGAGGGAAATTAGCCCCATGTGTCTGTGTCTCATGCACACTGAAGCCTAGAAATAGATTCTAAAAGCCAACCAAAGGCTGTGTGTTCTGTGTTTAGAAGAAAAGTTACCCTTTGACCTTTACATTCTTCTGTTTTCTCATTTGGTTGGGACAACAGCAGGTGAACCTGTTTTACCATCCTGTTTCATAGTCCCAGAGAGGATAAATAGCAGGACCAGGGACACACAGCATTTAGTCACATCCATGTTGATGATTTCTAAATCCCATTTCCCTCACACTGCCTGACTCCCCCTGCCCCCAACCACTGCCTGTAGGACCCGTGGAATTACCAAGCAGGACTTTGTTGAGTGCAGACTCACTGTCGGTGACCCATCAGAGCATCTTTATTGCCACACTAGTAAAGTCTCCCAGCTAGAGTGATTTTTGGTGTTTGTCTTTTCAGGACAAAGTCTCACTATGTAGCTCTGGCTGTCCTAGAATTCACTATGTAGACCAGGCTGGCCTTGAACTCACAGAGATCTTCCCGCCTCTCTCTCTCTCTTGAGTGCAGGGATGAAGGGCATGAGCCACTATGCCTACCTTAGAATGATTATCTGCTGATTGCCAGGCCCCTGAAATTACCAGGCAACATGCCTGATGCCTTCTGTTGCCCAAGCCCAAGCCCAAGCCAGAAGGAAGGTCAGGGCCCTGGAACCAGCATGCCACAGACAGCAGCAGCATCCCAGGGTGGCAGTGCCTGTGATCCTGTGGAGCAGTGTTACAGCATACTCCTGTCCCTGCTGTCCCTGTGCTAGGAGAAGGGAGAGCCCTGAGCTAAGTTGGTACTCTCAGCACCAGACCCACCTCTTGTCCCCTCCTGATCCACCCTCAGTCCCTGCTGGACTCCACCATTGTGGAGGACCTTCCTGTGGTCCTCTGCAGTGATAGTATCAGAAAAATGAGATGCCTCCCAGCCCTGATCCTTGACTCTGTTTCACTGGCACCTGCTAGCCTCACTGCTCGGTCCCTGGGCTGGATGGCCTCAGGCCCTCCTGTCCTTCCCAAGGGCAAAAGGGATCAGGAAGGACCAGCTCTGCTTATGTCAGTGGACAGACAGGCAGCTCTGTTCTGGATGGGGAAACTGAGGCACAACCAGCACCAACAGGCAGAGTCTAGGCAGGATGACATGGAGCCATCTGCATGTGCATTGGTCTCTTTCCAAGCCCAGGAAGTTTTATTCCTGAGGCCTCAGACAGCTGAGGGCAAGGGCAGCAATGAGCTGTGGTGGCCGGATCTGAGGGAATGAGAGACCGGCCTTGGTGCTCATTGCATAAATTCAGACCATCCACATCAGATAACGTGTTCCCCTGGGAATCCTGACTCTACCAGCCCATCCCCCTAGGCAACTGCTACGATTCCCATCACCAAAGTCTCCCCGGCCTGGTTCTAAGCTTCATAGATTATGCAGTGTGTGACCACCCTAGTGTGCTGTATTAACCCACTCCATGAATTTCTCTGCGAGTCACCACATTCTTATTTCCATCATTTGTGAAGTCTGATGATAGATGACCTTTGTTCATTTTATCCTTATTAATAGAGATTTGGTTGTGAATAAAGCTTTCTCTTTTTTGCGGATTATTTTTTTATTCGAATTAGAAACAAGATTGTTTTGCATGTCAATCCCAGTTCCCTCTCCCTCCCCTCCTCCCCTACCACCCTCCCCCCAACTAAAACCCTACCTATCACATATCCTTTCTTCTATTCTTCCCCGACTCACCCTTTCTGCTCCCTCATGACCTCTGCCTCCTTCCTCTCCTTCCCTTCTCCTCATCTTCTTGGCTCAGGGAGTATGCCTCTATGTGGAATGGGCTCCCAAAGTCCACACCTATGCTAGGGATAAGTACTGAACTAGTACAGGAGGTCCCGTAGATTTCCAAGGTTTCCTCACTGAAACACATGTTCCTGGGGTCTGGATCAGCCCCATGCTGGTATCCCAGCTATGAGTCTGGGGAGCAAGAGTTCCCCGATGTTCAGGTCAGCTGTTTCTGTGGGTTTCACCAGCCTGATCTGGACCCCTTTGCTCTTCACTCGTCCTTCTCTGCATCTGGATTCCAGTTCAATTCAGTGCCTAGTTGTGGGTGTCTGCTTCTACTTCCACCAGCAGCTGGATGCGGGTTATCGGATAGCATATAAGTCAGTCACCAATCTCATTATCAGGGGAGGGCATTTAAGGTAGCCTCTCCTCTGTTGCCTAGATTGTTTGCTAGTGTCATCTTTGTAGATTCCCCAAACCTTTCCCTAGTGCCTGATTTCTCTGTAAACCTAAAATGTCTCCCTCTATTATGATATCTCCATTCTTGTTATCTTCTATTCTTCCCCTGACTCAAACTTTCTGCTCCCTCCCTCCTC